GGGAGATGGGCGGCATACAAGCCGAATAAATAAATAAATAAATAAATAAATAAATAAATAAGCAATAAAAAGTTGCATTATGGAATATTCTTGTTTAGGGCTACTTCCTTCCATCCTCCCTCTTCCTCTGTGTACTGTACTGATTTAATCCAAATGAGCAGTCAGCATTATGTTGTCACTGGATATACATTACTTCATCCTTACTAGTTGATTTTGGAGACAACCTTCTTTAAGATTTCTTTCCTGAAGATTTGTTGTTATTTTGCAAAGCTTAAGATTCTTCTTCCGTATATGTATGCTGCCATTTAGCTACATAAGGATCGACAAAGAATGAGCTTATCCTCAGTATACAGAATGATTTAAAAACTTCTTCTAAACTACGCAGTCACTTTAGAACCTGTATATGGAAGATAGGGCCTGAATATCTGCAAGACCACCTCTCACCAAATGTTGCCTATCCTATATGATTTGACAGTGTTGCATGCTCCAGGTCCCATTGATAAGACAATGCTATCTTATGGGATCTAGAGGTAGGCTTCTCTATGGCTGCTGCAGCCTTTGAAACACACTCCCCCAAAAGTTTGCACAGCCCTGACCCTGCTGTCTTTTAGGAAAACCCTAAAAAGTTGGCTTTTTCAGGGTTTAGGGTGATTCATGACCCTACATTTAGTACCAGATATTTTATTTATTTAGTATTTATGGTTGTTTTCCCTGACATAGTGTTTATTTTGTTGTTCTTACTGGTTTCTTAAGTTTTTTTTTAATTGTTCATTAACTTATAGTATGTGTGGAGTTGTTTCAGTGATTAAGGTGGCATATAAGTTGAATAAATACAGTACATAAAAATAAAATGTGCAGTATAAAGGCAAGAAAACAGCAGTCCTGCCCATTGTTTATTCCCAGTATTTGTTAACTCAAATGAATGCTTCCTCTGAACACAGGTATTTCATCTGTCTTTCGTGGTCATGTTATTATATTAGCCTATAATGGAAACATTCTTAATCCTGCATGGTACAAAACTTACTACTGTATTGCCCCACTTGTTTGTTCTGTTTCCCTTATTTTATCTGCAGTGTTGTCACTACAGCTTCACTCTAAATTTCCCTACACTTGCTGTATCTTCAATCCTTCATTAACTTTAGGCCCTTGCTGCTCTCATATTACTTTTAGAAAAAGTGTGTGTCCTGAGCAAATTTTAAAAGTTACAGTTCAAGACCCTACATGGCATATATCTAAGGCAACTTGAGAAATTTAATTATCTCTAGATGTTTTTCACTCAAGTACAAAAAGGTTAAGAACCTTTGCCAATTACATTTCTGTGAAGGAGAATGCATTCTGTACATATAATTTTTCTAATTTCAGGGTTGATTAGTGGTTAAATAGGTTCCAATTCTAAGTTTGATCTTTGCTGAAGCATTATTGGGCAGATGCCAGGCACATAGTCTCCCTTTTAGCCCAACCAAAATGGTGATGGAGAGCAGATCCCAGCAAGTGAGGGAGAGGGAGCATTCGCTCAGCAATCTAAAATGGCCAAAGAGATCTAAGCAGATCCCAGTCCCTGATTTCATCAGCAACCACATTGTTGATGAAGCCTGTTAGATTGTGTCTAGGCAAAAACTGTGTTGGGTGAAGAGGGAAAATACTACTTTAAAACAGCAGTTAAAAATGGCTTTAAGCTGACTGCAATGAAGACAGCTTATGAGGTCATGTCATAAAAATGGTTACCAGGATATGTTTGTGCCACAGTTAGAAGACACAAGGGTGAGTCCTCAGTTCAGAATTTTCTAAGTGCTGAAAGCCCACCTCAGGGACTTGAAAGCAGTATCCCTTTCTATGTGGGTCAGAAATATATAGCCTCTGAACAGCCAAGTTTTATTTAGCTAATCTTGGTCTATATCCAATATGCTAGATCCCCTTTCATCTTTCATTTATGTACCTTCCTCCATCCTTTAAAACGTTTTAAGCCAGAAGCTACACTTTGTAGTACAGAATTCAATTCATTTAATTGTGTGCTGTGTGAAAAATTATATTGTTATGAAGATACTGGCAGTAAAACTGAGATGATGATGATGATATCATCATCATCATCATCCATCTATCGAGTCCTTCCCAAGGACCTGAGATAGGCAGATGTTGTTTGAGTGTTAAAGGTATTGTCACAGGATGTAAGTTGTGTCCTGAGCAAATTTGCAATTGACTGATAGTGATTTTGTTGCTGCTATTATTATTATTATTGTTGTTATATATTTGGTCAACTGAAGGCAGCCAACTTACCTGATACTCCTATTTTCCCCACAACAACAGCCCTGTGAAGTGGGTTGGGCTGTGAGAGAGTGGCCCAAAATCACCCAGCCGGCTTTCATGCCAAGGGAGGCCTAGAACTCAAGAATCTCCAGCCTTCTAGGCCAGCACCTGAACCAACACTAAACTGGCTCTCTCTATATATTCTGAAGGGGCCAAAAATATTTTTTTCTACAAAACTTGCATGAATGGATAAACTTGCTTTAAGGAAGACCTATGTATGTATGTGCATTGGTACATTAGTTTGATGTAAACAGAAACCCATAACTTTTCATTCAGTAATAATGGCTCGTGAGGGGAAGCACACTCAGCATATGCTCAGGAGCAATCTTGCGACTGGAGCCCTGAGTCTCGACATGAAGGCTCAAGTTTGCTTCCAGTAGAGATGAGAGTTTGCGATAGTTCAGACATCTTCCCCACTAAGGAGCTGATCTTTTCCTCAAAAGAGCAGATACGGGACCGTTCCCTCAACGACCTCTTCCCACTCCGGCCGCCAGAAATCGCTGCCCCTCCCCTTGAGACTCCTGCGCGCACCCCGAATCTTCCAGACGCCGTTAGAACTAAAGAGAAGGTGCTCGAGCCCCGAAGGTAACCAGAACGTACGAAACCAGCTCAACTACTCGACCGACTACAGGGAGGGGCTGAAGGAACGGGCGGAGCTGTTTTGCATAACGGCCGCCCAAAAGGCAATTCGAGACCGCCCAAGGGAGAGCGTTCCGAATCTTTATTGGTCGCTGGTGACATCAATCCTTCTGGTCGGAGCGCGCCTCCTCTGGAAATTTCTAACTGTGACAGAAGAAGGAGCATGGACATACCAAAGCGATTGGTCAGAGATCTGTAAAGAATGACGTGATTGGGCGATTGGGTTCTGGCAGATTCCAGAAGCCGGCGCACCGCGAATATAAAAGCAGGCCGAGGGGAACGCAACGGCAGATCGTGCTTCAGGTTATCGCTGAGAACGTTCGTTGTTGTGGTCTAACGGGCAGCTCCGGAAACCTGTTTCATTTTAATCGTCGAAGCTTTAGAGAGCTATCTTGATCGCGTTCCTGCAACCATGTCGGGCAAAGCGCCTGCCATAGGCATTGACTTGGGCACCACATACTCCTGCGTCGGAGTTTTCCAGCACGGGAAGGTGGAGATCATTGCCAACGACCAAGGAAACCGCACTACTCCGAGCTATGTTGCCTTTACGGATACTGAACGCCTCATCGGAGATGCAGCCAAGAATCAAGTGGCCATGAATCCCAACAACACCATCTTTGATGCCAAGCGTCTCATTGGCCGCAAATTCGATGATCCTACGGTGCAGTCCGATATGAAGCACTGGCCTTTTCGTGTGGTGAGTGAAGCTGGGAAGCCAAAGGTACAAGTTGAGTACAAGGCTGAGGTCAAGACTTTCTTTCCTGAAGAAATTTCCTCGATGGTGTTGACCAAAATGAAGGAAATAGCTGAGGCATACCTGGGTTGCAAAGTCCAGAGTGCTGTAATCACTGTACCTGCATACTTCAATGACTCCCAACGCCAAGCCACCAAAGATGCAGGAACCATCACAGGTCTCAATGTACTGCGCATCATTAATGAGCCCACAGCTGCTGCCATTGCCTATGGTTTGGATAAAAAAGGGAGCAGAGCAGGTGAGAAGAATGTGCTGATCTTTGACTTGGGTGGTGGCACTTTTGATGTCTCCATTTTGACCATTGAAGATGGCATCTTTGAAGTGAAATCTACTGCTGGAGATACTCACTTGGGTGGTGAGGACTTTGACAATCGTATGGTGAGTCACTTTGTGGAGGAATTCAAGCGCAAGCATAAGCGTGACATTGCTGGCAACAAGCGAGCAGTTAGGCGGCTCCGCACAGCCTGTGAGAGAGCCAAACGTACCCTGAGTTCCTCCACCCAAGCTTCTATTGAGATTGACTCATTATTTGATGGAATTGATTTCTACACATCCATCACCCGTGCTCGCTTTGAAGAGCTCAATGCTGATCTCTTCCGCGGTACTCTTGAACCTGTGGAGAAGGCTCTTCGTGATGCTAAGCTGGACAAAGGGCAGATCAATGAAATTGTTCTAGTCGGTGGCTCAACTCGTATCCCCAAGATCCAAAAGTTGCTACAAGACTTCTTTAATGGAAAAGAGCTGAACAAAAGCATAAATCCTGATGAAGCTGTGGCATATGGTGCTGCTGTGCAGGCTGCTATTCTGATGGGTGACAAATCAGAAAATGTGCAAGACCTCCTGCTGCTTGATGTAGCACCACTTTCTCTGGGTATTGAGACTGCTGGTGGTGTAATGACTGCCTTAATCAAGCGTAACACAACTATTCCCACCAAGCAAACCCAGACCTTCACCACCTATTCAGACAACCAGAGTAGTGTGCTGGTGCAAGTGTATGAGGGTGAGCGGGCCATGACTAAGGACAACAATCTGCTGGGCAAATTTGACTTGACGGGTATCCCACCTGCACCTCGTGGTGTGCCCCAAATTGAGGTTACATTTGACATTGATGCAAATGGTATCCTCAATGTCACTGCAGTGGACAAGAGCACAGGAAAAGAGAACAAGATTACAATTACAAATGACAAAGGCCGTCTTAGCAAAGATGACATTGACCGCATGGTGCAAGAAGCAGAGCGTTACAAGGCAGAGGATGAGGCTAACCGGGAACGGGTAGTTTCCAAAAATGCCCTGGAGTCCTATGCATACAACATCAAGCAGACTGTGGAGGATGACAAGCTGAAAGGCAAGATTAGTGAGCAGGACAAGCAGAGAGTGCTTGAAAAGTGCCAGGAGGTGATCAGCTGGCTTGATCGAAACCAGATGGCTGAGAAGGAAGAGTTTGAGCACAAGCAGAAGGAGCTAGAGAAGCTTTGCAACCCCATCATTGCCAAATTGTACCAGGGTGCTGGAGCTGCGGGTGCTGGTGCTCCAGGTGGTGGTCCCACTATTGAAGAAGTAGATTAAACTACCATGGACTAGACTGTATGAGCAATTTCCATCTGCTCTACTCTTTCCCCATGGAGCTTGTGGATGTGTAAGGGAGGAGGTATTATCTTGCTCTCTAATTTATTGGAAAGCATTGCCAGCTCATTTTGTTGCCGATAATGTTTGTCTTACTATTAAGATAGCTATGCTAGTTGGCAGATGTTTGTTTTTTAATGTTCACTGTTGTAAATATCTACTTGAGCATTACAATTGAGAGGAAAACATTTCAGAAGAGTATGGAGAATGTTAAACATTAAAAAAAGCTTTGTTATTTTTGGCAACTTTTTGGTCTGATTATTTTGAAATTTTGGTAATAAAAGTTATTTGAAGCATAAATTTCCTTTTTTTCCCCTTTCTTTCTAAAAGCAAGTATTTTTTTATGAGATGCAGGGAGTGCTAAATCTTACTTTTTACAGTAAGAGCTGTAGTGGGAAAGGGGTCAAATATTTTAACATGCATTGATGTTAAAAGATGTTACAGGCAGAATATTTTCTTGGGGTTCTGTATTTTCAAAATGTACTATTTGATAATATTGTACCAGATTATCATAAAAAGGGGGACTGATTAGTTGGTCTAAGTTTTAATATTAAGCAGAAACTCTGTAGGCAGAGGATTTTTTTTGACATATTGCCATGCTGGGTCTGACACTGCATGTTAGCTAGCAGATGTATTCTGACTTAAGAAGTGCCATCCTTGTCTGTGCCAATTAGTTTAATTAAGTCTTGCTTTGCTTTAATTAAAACTATGCACTAGTCTGTTAAATCCTGTAATAACCTAAATTTTACTTAAAATAAAAAAAAACCCTCAAAAAGCAGAGCCTGACTAGGTTCATTAAGATATAGAACCTTCTTTCTAATTAACTTTGCTGCCTTGCTAGACCAGTTGAACACCTAATGTCAGCATAAAAGTTCCCAATCTTGCAGGACAAAAATTGAGCTGATGCTTTACAAACTAGATCTGAGTGGACTGATAAAAACCAAGCTAAGTGGGTAGTATTTAAGTTTATGGGGAGATTGACACATTGGAAATAGCTGAGGTTAATAAAATCTATAAATACAGTCAAGTATTCTAGCTCTTGCATAGGAAACCATTGAAAATACATGCATGCTTGGATGTAACTCAAGAGAAAATGCATAGTAAGGCTGTAGCCTAAGAGCTATTAACAATTGGTGTGCATTGAGACCATTGGTGTGATTGTCTTGATTATCAGCAAATGGGAAAATCAAAGTGCTATTGAGGTAGCCCCACATTCAACAACCTCTTCAGGTTATTAATGTTCTGCTAGGATAGTCCAGCTTGAATAAGAAACCTGTGGCTCTCAGATGTTGCTGAGCTACAACTCCCACTGCGTTTGTTCAAACTAGCTGGAGCTGTAGGGAATTGTAATTCAACGTATAGAGAATCACAAGTCCATTTCCTTTATTAACTTGACAATTCTCTATTTAAAAGTAGGTGGCTGAACCTGGCTTCTGTGGCTAAATATTTGATCACACCAACTATCTTTTTAAAAGTATTGTCAATCTAAGATTTTTTCTAAAATGCCTGGAGCACCTGAGTAACTTGATTGGTGATAGGCAATATGTGATAGAGATAAGGTTGATACAGATCTTAAAATACTTTGAGAATCACAAATCAAATCCTTTTTTTAATCACATAACAGCTTAAATTTTTGTATGTATGTGTAGATAGATACTGCTTTTTTGGAACAATATAAATTTATACAGGATATATCTTTATTCTACACATTTTTTCATAGTTCTTTTTCCTATATAATTAATATAGAGCAGTAATTAAACTAATTGCTAGTTATAAATGTTCATATAGTATGTCTAGCCTGGCAAACAAAAGAGTTAGCTAAGTCTTTAACCTGCTAAATTTGGTTAGTGTTAGGCATAGTTAGGTTTTTTGTAGCTTGACTGTTTTGTAAAGCACAGATCTTGGTGAGTTTCTGGTTCAGTGCATTATAAAACCTCCCCCCCCCCATGGGTTAATTCAGTACCCAGCTTAAGTATGTTATGTGCATTCATTCACAGAGAATAGTAATTACATTAATTTAAAGGGACAGAACATTTTCAGAGTACAGAATACTTTAACAGGTATGCTAAGTGCTTTTATATCTTTGCTGATTCAGGCCTATTGGAAACAATAAGATTCCTCTGCCATTTAGTATGGATGTGAATGAGGTAATATTAATAAAAGCAGGTTTTCTATTTCCATTGCAAGTGGCACATGTCTTCTTCAGCACTATTAAATGTACAAGAGATCTATCCTTCCTTGAATTTGACTATCTAATAAAAAGAAGGAAAGAAATATATTTTTCAAAAATTTAGATCAGTGATCCTCTGTTATAGAAAGTGCAGGTAGGTCTCACTTAAACCTGTAGGATAGATATATAGCAGGTATTACTGTGTAGATAAATTTAAGAGCTCTTCTGAAAATCTCAGACCTCACACTAGAATTGTCTAGAAGTACAAAAAAAAAAGTTTCCCATAGGCAATTTAAATTGATGCAAAGTGAACACTGAAGTGACACACTTTAGGGAAAGTTTTCCAATTTTGTATGAAATACAAGCTTCATTAATGCCACAAGTTCTCACTCTGCTTGTGCCCTTTAAGACAAGATTTGTGCAGTTTCTTTTAGTGGAAATACAGGGAGAAGTTGGTTGTGTATCACTAACATTGGCAGGTCAATGTCCTATTCCTAAGTACAGTCTATCTGAACCATCAGGTGCAGATTTATTTATTTTTTGTACCTTCAAGTCAGTGTTGACTCCTGGCAAATGCCTGGACAAGTCCCTTCAGTTTTGTTGGCAAGATTTCAGAAGTGGCTTGCCACTGCTGCCATCTTCCTAGGGCTGAGAGTGACTGGCCCAGGGTCACCCAGCCGGCTTTGTGCCGAAGGCAGGACTAGAACTCAGTCTCCCAGTTTCTAGCCTGGTGGCTTAATCACTATATCAAACTGGCTCTTCAGGTGCAGGAGGTACAGTTTTTCTTGGCTGTGATTTGGCATTTGCACTTGTTCTATTTAATTGTATTGGGACTCCCAATTTTTTGAAATACTGTAACAGGTAATAGAGGAGAGAGGGTTTTATTATTCCTTAAAAATACAGGGCAAATTATTATTGGACCTATGTGTGTTTTTTTTTTAGTTCAAAAGCATACTATATTCCAATAGCTGTGTGGGGTTGACTAATGTTACACAAGGCTAACCTCAAGTTTGTCATAGAATGTACATTTAACAAATAGCCACAGCCACTCACAGCTCTCTGACAAGCTGCTTGCAGACCTTTGTGCCCTGTATATACAACAACATTAATGAAATGAAATGTATATTGGTGGCATGGTATCGCTGTGCTTTTGGCAACCATTGGCAGTTTAACAGCAAAATTAAAGTGCTCTTTGGGGTGTGTTTATGTTAGAGAATTCCAAAATCTAACCTTAACCTGCTCCTACATGTTTGTTTTTCTATCACAGCAGCCTCATCAGCTACCTCTGGAGAAACAGAGCTGCTGTGGTATCTTTTCACTAATGTAAATTAAGTGAACAGGATTCCCTCTTCAGAGTTTTCTTGTGAAACTCTGTGTCCACTTCTACGCAGGGTTGCAAGAGAGAAGAGAGCCCTATAATTTGCCTAGACAAACTGGCTGGAGCCACATATTTTGCTAAGCTATAATGAACCCAACCAATTGTGGCTTACTCAAGATATTGTGGCTTATTGTGATATGTCAGCTGTTTCATCTCTACAGAGAAGCACACAGCAATATCCATCCGTATCCCTTCTAGTAATAAGAAAATACTTGACCTTTATAGCCATCTTTTGCAAAGTCTTCCCCAGTACTTCCTATTCCTGCTTCACAGACATGTTTGTTGCACTAAATTATTATTTCCTTTTGAAAAACAGTTGCACTGAATTCTTACACAGATTTGCACTACTGAGGCTACGTAATAAGCAGGTTTGTTGAACTTGCAAAAAGCAAACACAGGGTCCACCCTATGAGTAAGAAAGTTTAATTGTATACATGCCTAGAAATTGCTGCTAGCCCCAGCCCTAATCATGTTTGGATCTAAGTAAATTTTACTGTTTTTTTTAAATCCTTTTCTGACCATATAAAATACTTGTTATTGATGAAATAAAAATACTTGATGCTATAATTTTGATGCTGAAACATATGAAAGCAAATGAGCCAGTTGGTCTTTTTAAGTATCCTAAAAGAGCTTCTATTTACTTGCAAGGTGGAAAAAAACACTGATACAGTAAAGAATACTGTGGAGTCAGAAAAAAATAAGGCTAGTTGCCAGAAAATGTTAATACTTGGAACTGAATATAATAGAATTACTTTAGAAGAGTGAGGAACATATTAATATAGTGGTAAAAAAATTTCACTGGCACCCAGTTTGTGCTTGAACTCATTTGAAAGGGCTGGCCTAAATTGCTTGGGATGAGCAGTATAAAGGCCTTCCTTGTCCCCAGTAAATCACCTTGCCAGTTAATATCATGAAATGCCCTTTGGGTGTGCATTCAGTTTCCATGGTTAGGCCAATGTGCCATAGAGAGCTGTTAACAAAGATCAGCATCACTGCCATGTTATGCATACCTAGTGGTTTGATTCTAGAAATGTCCAGGACACCAGGTAAGCTATGATTCCACCAGGTTCAAAACCCAATTAAGCCATCTTGACACAACTCTAAACTATCTTAAAGTCTTGAAGTGGAAGAGCTCCCTGGGTAAATATTCACATGATGTTCTTGGCCTTCTGGAAGGCTATGAAAACTTGGCTCTTTCCTCAGGCATTAGGACCAGGAGATTAGTGGAAACCAATATCCCTGTTGGTGTGTGTGTTCTGAGACACCTTGGTTACAGTACGAAGATGTCTGTGGTATCCTTCTGGATTGGCTCAGAGGATTGGGGGTGGGTGGCACTGTGTTGTGCTGGTTCACCTCCTTCCTCCAGGGCCGATTCCAGTTGGTGTGGTTGGGGAGGAGAGATCCCGCCCTCGGCCCTTGTTATGTGGGGTGCCACAGGGTTCGGTGCTCTCCCCGCTCCTATTTAACATCTACATGAGGCTGCTGGGTGAGCTCATCCGTTGCTATGGAGTGAGGTATCATCAGTATGATATACCCAATTATACATCTCTGCCCCTGGCGAATTAAGCGATGCTGTGAATGTCTTATCCCAGTTCCTGCAGGCTGTGAGGGTCTGCAGGGGAACAACAGGCTTCAACTGAACCCTGGCAGGACTGAGTGGCTGTGGGTTCTGGGGCCTTCTGGTGCTAGATCTATGCCATCTTTGGTACTGAATGGGGTTGCACTGCCCCAGACAGACCCTGTGCACAATCT